AGAACACATGAAATGGTCGGTCATGATGACAAGTCTCTGGAAATTGTTATTACTAGTTTCTATCACCTTCAACAACTGTCTGGTTTCTAAAAATTGTTATGGGTTACCCTGCTCCAGAGCACCCAAGTTTTGAAAATAAGTATAAGTCACTCTGTTCTCAGAAAAACCACTAGCTGTCCCATGGCCTTGCAGGTGTAAAAACCAAAATAACATTCCAAACCCCCCCTGGGCAAAATTGTAAGTTCAGCTCCCAACCAATCAGAGAATGACTCATGTATGTTATAGCCAATCAATATGTTGTCACACTCCTGCCTAGTGACCAAAAAGATATAAAAACTACCTGTTTTGGAAACTCAGGGCCGTTCTCTTCCCAGGGAACGACCCCAACACATTGGAATAAAATCCTTTTGCTTTTGCATCGAACTTGTGTCCTTGTGAGTGACTCTGTGGGGTGCATCTCCTGGAGTTGGACTTCACTTTTGGGTCCAACAGGCCCAGAGTGAGAGAGCAGCAGGGTTTATGAGGCCCTCTATGGACTACTGGAGGCTCTTGGCAGAGCAAGGAGGAAGACAGAAAACTCCCAGGATAGAAAGTGTGATACAAAATGAGGAGCACTTAATGTCCAAGACAGCGTCTGCAGCCTGGTGATGTCAGGCAGGCAGTGGTACACCAGGTGCAGAGTTATCAGCATAGTGAGAAAAGCCATCACTGTTCTCAGGGAGGGAGAAAAGAGAGCCCAGAGCACAGCCCTGGGCTAGCGTAGCATTTATGAACCAACTGCCTGAGATGAGAACTGGTCATGAGGTGGAAGTGTCAGCATCTCTTACGAAGCCAGCCTTTGACGCAGTGGCAGGTTGTCAGGGATGGTGGGTTCTGCTGAGCTGGCACAGGCACTGGTTGTTGCTAGAGGACTCTGGGGAGGGAGGGATGAGGTGTGGCAAGAGTGGGAGGCAGTGGAGTGGGAGGCACACGCAAGCACACCTCCAGGCTATTGTCAAGGAGGGAACAGATCATGGGGCAGGAGCTGGGGATGGCTGAGGGGTAAGCTTGTAGCCTGTGGCCTTTTCTCTCTGTAGACGAGATAAGGTCATTGGTGGGGGGTCACTGTAAGGATACACAACATTACACATGGCCTTCAGGCAAGGCAACAACACTTTAAGGACCCTGCAGAAGGGTGGATGGGAGATGACTGAGATAGACCTCCAGAGACTGGTGGGGTCAGATATGGTTTCTTCCTGCCCTTCTCTGGCTATAGCCAGGTGTGTTTGTTGGGGGGTTGTTGGGAAGCACTCTCTTTGCTAGTGTCTGGGCCTGGAAGCAGGTAAAGTTGACTTGGGACCAGACATAAATCAGAATCCCCTTCTCCTGTGCTTCTAAATTTGCTAGCTGTTCCCCTTACTCCCAGTCCCCAGAGCTTCAAATCTGCCCTGGGCCCCTGGTGCCTGAAGCTGAAACCCCATGCTCTCCTGGGGGTTGGAAGTAGGGTTCATGTCTGCTGTGACCCCACCCCTACCCCCAGCCACAGATCACCAGGAAGTCATTCAGGAAGGGAGCTGGCTGCTACAAATCTTTGCTAGGATATTCTCCCAGAACAAAACACAGAAAATTACCCAGAAAAGGATTCCACAGGGCCAGGGTGGAGGCGGTTCCCAGCAAGTCCAGGACATGTACACTCTGTCCCCAGTGCTTCTAGGCAGCACACAGCCCCAGAGGCCAGCTTAAAGACTCCCATTGTACTGGAGAGCTGCCCAGTCAGTGAGCCTTGCTCCCACCCACACTTTCAATGTGCTCTTGCCTCTGCACTGTGAGCCAGGCCTTTGTGGCTTTTTAAATCAATTTTTTAAGTTTCTAATTTTGTATAGGGGTGGGGAGTTGTATGAGCCTCACAAACACACACACACACACACACACACACACACACACACACACACACACACACACACACTCCAGAGTGAAGGAGTGAAATGAAGGTCAGACTTGCAAGAAAAGGCTCTTTTCCTCTGCCATGTGTTTTCTGAGGATCAAATTCAGTTCATTGGGTCTGATGGCTAGTGTCTTTACCCACTGAGCTACCTTTCAGGCCCTGAGCCTGGCCCTCCCTGTAAGGTTTAGTGAGACTAGCTTTATTTGGTTGGTAATTATAAGGCCCACTCTATGCCAGGGAGTGGGGACAAAACATTCTAGTCTTGAACTAACCACAAGAAAGAACACATCAGCCATTGGACCCTAACCCGTATTAGCATTGGATGTTAGTCCCTAGCTGGTATGTGAGGGTCTTTGGACAAAGCCAGGAGCAGAATGGATGGGTGCCTTCTCATAGGTCTGTTGCTTCCACAGAGGGACAACCTAAGGCCCAGGACAAGAATTCCAATCTGTTCTCTGGGTAGCCTCCAGCTAGCAGCTGTCAGCATAATGGAACCATCTTGAGTCCCAAGATGGGGGTGGTGCCCTAAATGCCAAAGTCTGCCTGTGGACAGGTTTTCCCACACCAGCTATGCACTGCCAAGGTTTCAGTCGCCTGAATTGTCCTTCATTTGGGATTTGGGCTGAGGTATGGAGGCTGATGGGGACTTGGAGCTTGGGTGAGGTTTCCTTTCTCACTTGGGATTGGCTGCAGTTGTAGGGTTGGAAGCCAAGAGCCCAAGGCTGCCCAGGGATAGCGTGGCCCCTACCGACTGAAGTGGAAACTGCACTGTCCCAGACTTCCCTGATGGAATCAAGGCCACGAAAAACTGATACATGCAGGAAAAATTGCTTCTTGCCACCTGTCTTAACAGAAGGCAACCTAGGCCAAAAATACATCTCTGGTCAACCCTTTTCATGTTTCAGGTGACATGAAATGAGATGGGAATTTCTGAGGAGTCCATCCTTTCACCAATATAACCTTTTCTTTTGCCTCCTCCGGGAGGCATCTGTAGCCAGAATCATGAGATGAAGGAGAAGGTGTGGGGGGGTGTTGTGTGCTTATGTGTTTACATCCCTTGTTTAAAGAGACAAGACAGAGAGAGAGAGGGAAGGGAGAGAGAGAGGGAGGGGAGAGAGAGAGGGAGGGGAGAGAGAGAGAGAGGGAGGAGAGAGAGAGCGGGAGGGAGAAAAACCGAGAGAGAGAGAGAGAGAGAGAGAGAGAGAGAGAGAGAGAGAGAGAGAGAGAGAGAGAGAGCCCAAGCTTGCTTCATGGTCCAAGGCAATAGACACTAGAAGCATCATCCTTAAAGTGGAAAGGCCACAGTTGCTGTCCACAGGAATCCAATAGAGTCAAGGAACTCCATCAGCACTAGTAGGAAGATCTACAATCCCTTGGTGGACCACAGTGCTGTTAGCTGGAATCCCAAGGGCTTAAAGTGTTAAGGACATTCACAATTGGTCATCAGTATTTGTCCAGTCAACCAATGAACTGTGTCACATATACTATATGACATTTCAACCCAGATCTTGGCAATTTAGAACTGAATATTCATTATATTTCTAACACTCCTATTTTATTTGCATATTCAAAAATTTTGTTAGAAAACTAAGCAACTCATTAACATTACTAAGGAGATACTCAAATATGATGGGATAAATTCTTAGCTTTTTGGTTCAACAGAGTCTTCATGTGATATGCCCTCTGTAGGGCTGAGACTCCGATGAGAGACTGACATCTGTCTGGAGCTTCTTGAGACATAGACATCACTACCCAAACCACAAAAATAAAGCATTTACATAATATTTTTATTTGAGACTTTCCTATCATGAACCTCAATCACTCACTTCCCAGGACTCCTCCCACATCCCCTTTCTACTCTTGTGACCCCAATGTTCTTTTTCTTTTGAGACAGGGTTTCTCTGTGTAGCCCTGGTTATTTAGAACTAGCTCTATAGACTAGGCTGGCCTCAAACTCAGAGATCCATCTGCCTCTGCCTCTGCCTCCCAAGTATTGGGATTAAGGGCATGCGCCAGCAATTTTTAAAGCCATGAAGCATGACCATTTTTTGCTTTTTGAGTCAGCTGAGTTTCTCAGAACCTAGATAGGTAGTTTATATGTACCTATCATTTGGCCCTTTTGGTCAGGCATCTCTATATCAATGAAGATGACATCCAGTTAACTTCTTTGTTCTCTGGGAAAGACACTGGAAGTACAGTAGGCTGTCACCCTTGCTAGTCTAGGTGTAGTAATACAAAGTAGTGAGATCCTGGCAGACAGGAAATTATTTCTGCTATCACTGGTATCTTCTGGGCAAAGGGTACAATGGGAACCCTTACCCTTATCTACAGCAATATACCACGCTGTGATGGCTCATTTTGTGCCATCACTGGGTTATGGAATATTTGGTCAACCATTATTATGGGTGTTCTCATGAGTATTTCTGTTTGGGATCAGACTGGCATTTTACTTGGTAAACTGAATATATCACTTTGACCTGCCTAATGTGGTTAGGCCTTACCTGACCAGGTTAGTTTGAAGGCCTGAGTGAAACAAAAGGGCTAGGGATGTAGCTCCTTGACAGAGCACTCTCCTAACACAAACAGGGCTCTGGCTTTGCATTTGTAGAGCAGGAGAGAACTTTCCTTCTGCCTTTAACCTGGCACATGCCTTCTGGCCTGCTGCCAGCCTGCACTGTGGCATTAGCCACTCACTGCTCTGGAGCCTGCTGGCCTTTAGACAAGAACCACAGTACTGGCTGGCCTGGTTCTCAGGCCCCTCAACTTAAGGCCAGAACTAAACCACATATTCCTGAGGTTGCAGCTTACTGACTCACCCTTCAGGTCTTCAGATTTGCCTCAATAATCACGTGAACCCATCCCTTATAATACACCTCAGAGTCCCTCTCTCCCTACCCACCCCCTTCCATACTGGTTGCTTCTGTGAGGAAGCTAATTACTACAAATGCCCAGGTCTTCTCCCTAATTTTTAAGGGTCCTATCCATCCCAACAATGTATCTGTCAGGTAAGTGCTAAGATGGCCTGAGACCCTTAAAAGAGAAGACAAATAATATTAACACAAGACTACACCAAAAGTCACACATGATTTGTCAGCCTTTATTAATCAAGAGTGAAGCCGAGCCCTAGAGTTTCCTTTAAAAACAAAAACAAAAAACTCAACCTTGTTTATAGCAAACAATGATTAATTGTCAGTGACTTTTAATTTTATATTCAATACCATAGATCAAGAATTGTTTGCTTTCTAATCATATATACTCAGATTAAAACACAAGTGTAAAACAGGTTAAAGTAAGATTCACCCCAACAATTTAAAAAATAATTCCAATTGAAAGACATTTCAAACACCATGTATAGAACTCAGGACCAAAAGATGACCTTAGAATATTTTACCTTTGAGGTAGCACAATAATGCTTAATTGGATTTTTTTTACTACAATGAATTAAAAACAAAACAACAAAAACCAAGGAATCTAACCCTTGCTCAAGGTGGGCTAAATGGTTTTCTGAAAATCCCCATTTTTTTTTAAGTATAAAGATAGCCCTGCAGTGTGTTAATAGGAAACCCCTTGGGAAGGCTGCTTCCCATAAAATAGACATTAGAATCACAGAGGAACGTCAGCAGTCAAGACAAGAGGAACAAGAGGTAATCGTAGTGAAAAATCAACACAACCCATAACTTGGCGAGATTGGCTTACAAATGTGTATCAAAAACAAAAACTCCAATATCAACTGACTGAGAAAGATAAAAGATGACATTCATGGGTCCTTTTCTTTCTCTGTGCAAAATGCTTTCATCTTTTTAAAACAAAGTCTGTGACATGCCACAAATTGCTGTGTGTCCAGGGCACCAGCAGCACCTATGGGCTCCACTATTACCAGCAGAGAATTTGGGGAATGGGGGTGAATGCAATCTCTCCAGCTGGAGAACTTTTTTTTTTTTTTTTTTTTTTTTTTTTTTGCCACTTTGCTGCTGAATTTGCTCACTATGCTGCTCAGAGAAAAGCTCAACGCTGGTTTCTGAGCCTCTGTATCAGGGACACAGAATTCTTTATGAAGAATATGAACTCCGGACAAGAACACAAGAGCCTGTCCTGCAGAGAATTCAATCTAGAGAAGAGTGGGTGGGGGAGGCTGGGGTACAGAAAGGAAGGACAATACTGCAGTTGGACCTCAAGGATCTGATGACTACTCTCTATCAGCCAAAGTCAATAGCAAAGCCAGGAAGAGGGGGGGCTCTAATCCTGGAAGAGAGGTGCTAACAGAGGGATCTGGCTCTCCCCCGGTGGGGCTCAGCTGTAGGGGTTGCTGGCGCAGGCACTGAGACCTTGAGAAGTAACACCTGCTCTGTCACCTTTGATTCTCTAAGCTGTAAAGAGAACTGGAACACTGTCAGGCCCTGGCACTGTGGTGACAGCCTTTCATCACTCACACTAGTTCCTTTAATAATGTGTCCCTTCTGCAGACTCAGGGGTCACACTGCAGTGAGGGCTCAGTTACTTGATGACTTCTACTCTAAAAGAACAGCCATTAGTGTGGCAGGAAAGGGGACAGGGGGACTCTGAAGATTAGACTGGGATGTGTGGGCAGGCTGAGAAAGCCCACCCTTAGCAGCCTGCAGGAATAACTCCAGCATAAGATTCACAGCCAGCCACAATCCATGCTGGCATGGAGGCTGGGGTGGGGGTTCAGAGTCCTTCTAAGGTTTGGGAGCTGGAATTTTGGGCTGCTCCTGGAGTCCAGTGCACCTCTTACCTTTGCAAGAACCAGGTATTATTCGGTCAAAGTGCAAGGTCTGATTTATTTAATAAAGCAATACCATAGAAAATGACCTTAGGAAAATTTGGGATCACCACAAAGGTTTTCCAGTGCTAGCTGCCTGCTTTGGAGTAGTAGTTATGACCATACAATTCCCAAAGCTGTAACATAGGCTACTTAGGGCAGTCTGAAGAGTCCTGCTTTATTTCATGGAACACAAGAAAAAGTAATTACTAAAATGGTGGTGACTGATCTAGTCTGGACATCTCTTAACTACAAGTGACCACGGCAAAAGCTGAGAGACAGTTAGAAAGGCCTTCACAGTAAGTTTATAAATGGTAACCTTTCTTTCTGTGGTTATTATAGTGCTGGAGATCAAACCCAAGGCTTTGCACATGCTACATAAGTGCTTTGCCACTGAGCCACACCCACCCCCTTCCCCAATGATACCAAGTTTTGAAAACAGATACTTAGCACAAATGTCTGAGTCAGCTCACAAACCCCATGTGTGTATGGAATATGACCAAAGTGAATTCCTTTAAATAGAGAAATAATTTCCTTAAAAAAAATTAGCTTCTTTGTAAGAGTTTCAAAATGGATGATTCCTAGCCAAGCTAGGCAACAATGTTGGAAGATGAAGGAAAAGGACTCTCTGTGTAGCACAGCCCCTTCAGCCCACAGCCATCAGCCAGTGGACCAACTGCTAACAAGACATGGCCAGGGTTGCTCAGGGAACTAAAGGTCAGATGAAGCGACGACACCTCCAGATCCTGGCTCCTTGTATCAGCACCATGCTCTAACCAGCTGAGCTAACTCCTGGCTCCTTAGAAAATGGCAGCAATTTCTTTATGCAAACTACACCGAGGTTAAACAAAACTTGCTAAGAACAAACAACAAGAACGCTAACCCAGATAATCTTTCCTGGCTCTTTGCTCCTGGCAGGAGTGCTGAGTCCAAGTGTCTTGCTAACGTGAATCTAAGTAATCAATCTGCTCTGTATGGGCCTGCTGGGCCTTCAATAGACCCTTTTCTGAGTGTCACTATGGGCTTGGACACAGCTATGTTGTGCAGCTGCCAGCAAATAGGACAGGACCACTAGAGCACAGACCTCCATTATAACTGCTGCCATCTTGCACTGGGAAAGTGAAGGCAGCAACTGTGAACACACTGTGAACTTTCTCAAAAGACAAACGAGGAGACTGAAGGCTGTACCATCTCCTCCCTTGACAAGGACTGTGGAGGGGTCTACAGTTATTCAACAGGTTTCTGTAGACCTTAGGGTAACTTTCAGAAGCATCATTAGCAGCAAGAGAGGAAAAGATGTTTACACTTTGGACTTTGTATCAGGCACTTAAATTGCTGGAGAGACATGCCATTCTGAACCAAAGATGTGAAAACTGGGTTGAAGTAAATTGTTACATAAGTGGTCTAATGATGGGCTTTCAGAAGCAAAGTGGAGGTGGGGGCGGAGCCTCTGTCCATCTTTCAGTGCTGACTCTCAAGATTTCTAAATGCCCTTAACCACAGCAATGGCAGCGGCGGTGACAACAGCAGGAACGGTTCTGTCGTGTCTGTTTTCTGTGTGTGTTCTGTGGCTGACTGGAAGGTTTTGGTGTCACACTGAGAAGGCTCTGAGAATCATCACATCTACTGCCCAGGGTCCAACAGATCTAAGTTGGAGCCAAACATCTTCACCAGCTGCTCTTCGTAGTGTGTGATATTCCTCTTCATGATGTCCATGCACGGTCCCAGAAGCCTCTCAAATGCTTGAACATCCATAACTGCATTGTTTAAAAAAGAAAAAAAAAAGAGTTCGGGAGAGAAGGGTTTGTTTATGTTAACAGTTGAAGCAATCTCCTGCATGCCACCCTTTCCCTACTCCACTTCCTCATGCTCCAGGAGATGACATTTCAGGACACTGGGGAAGGGATGCTCTGTACGAACGCTGAAGACGGATGTGGGCACAGCAGCACCTGCCTGTCTTGTCCCTCCACAGACCTGGCAACCTGCCCACATCACTGCTGCTTCTGCACAGCTGTGGCGCTGTACACCTGTCTTACTCAGGGTTGCTCACTGCTCAGAACCGACCGCTAGGGTGCTGGGGAAAGCTTAGAGGTACAGCATGTGCTCAGAATGTTCAAGGTTCTAAGTTCAATGCCCAACACCTCCCCCACCAAAAACAGCTTTGCTCTAAGAATTCATTTATACAAGTACCCAGACCTAGATCTGAATGAGTTTGACTGAATAAATCAAGGCTTGCTAACAGAAAACAAAACAAAAAACCTGTACATTAGAAAAAAATTAGTAATGTACAAAGAATTTCCTTTTTCATTTTAAAGTTTTTATTAGCACATATAATATACAATAATGGTTGTTATTAGGGCATCTTCATATGTGTGTGTGTGTGTGTGTGTGTGTGTGTATTTTTTTGTTTTGTTTTGTTTTTCGAGACTGGGTTTCTCTATATAGCTTTGGAGCCTATCCTGGAACTTGCTCTGTAGACCAGGCTGGCCTCGAACTCAGAGATCCACCTGCCTCTGCCTTCCAAGTGCTGGGATTAAAGGCGTGTGCCACCACTGCCTGGCCATGTATGTAATTTTTATCATATTCACTCCACCCCATCTTGTCCCACTCCCATCTATCCTCTCTTCTTCCCAGCCAGTTAGTTCCCTTCCGATTCTTCTAATTTCATGTCGTTTTTGTGGGGGAGAGGGAAGAAAGTTTAATTAGGATTGTGTCATGGGCAATTTATCAGTGGCTACCCTATGAAGACAATCTCTCTCTCCCCCAGCAACTATTAACAGTCTAAGGTTGGGGGGGGGGCTTGTTAGCACCTCACAAAGAACTTTTCTTACCTAAGCATTTGACTTCTCCAACTGCATAGGCAGAAGCAGCTCTGGGTTTGTTGGTGACCAGTGCAAGCTCTCCGAAGTACTGTCCCTTATGGCAATGGGCAATCTCAACCTCCTGGCTCCCACCATCCTTGTTCGTTTTAGTCTACAACAGGCAAAGAATAAGATTCGGGCTGATTCTAAGATCACAGCTGGGCATGTCCAGTTACACACGTCAAATTCATTACTCACAAAGTTCAACAAAGTTACTGAGGAATTTGCTTTGTAGAAACTCTTAACTATATTATCCTGTAAATCAACAGACAGATCTCTGGGGCCTGGTACAGCTGAAGAGCTGTTTTACTTGGAGCTCCACCTAAGCCCTAACACATTTCAGATAATGGCTAAGCATGAGCCAGTCAATTCCAGCATTTTCAGTGGAGATTACAACTTCTGGGAGATGTGACTGGAGCACAGTTTGAACACAAGGTCTGCTGCTAATTCTTCCTAATAATGAACTCTTCTTTTAGTGATGAGCCCAAGCTCAAGGCTATGTGGTGGATCAAGACTATCTCGTGTTGTTCTTCACAGTGATATTTCTTTTAAAGCACTATGTGCGCTTACACTAGTGCTGCACCTCCATTCTTTTTTTTTTTTTTTTTTTTTTTTTTTGAGACAGGGTTTCTCTGTGTAGCTTTGGAGCTTATCCTAGAAATTGCTCGGGAGACCAGGATGGCCTTGAACTCAGAGATCCACCTGCCTCTGCCACCAATGCTCAGCTGCACCTCCATTCTTAAGAAGTTAACTATATCCTGCCAGGCATTGGCAGCACACACCTTTAATACCAGCACTCAGGAGGCAGAGGCAGGTGGATCTCTGTGAGTTCGAGATCAGCCTGGTCTACAGAGCAAGATCCAGGACAGCCTCTTTCCATACAGAGAAACTCTGTCTCAAAAAACCAAAAAAAAAAAAAAGAAAAGAAAAGAAAGAA